ATATATTATATGTTTGTGTGTGTGGGCGAGCGCGCGCGTACCGTTGCTTGCTGGTAGAGCAACCTCTCTGAAGTTCATAAATTCCCTCAGATCAAGGGTTGGAATCCCCCCATGTGTCGGGACCCGTCTAATACCTTCGGTCATTCATTTTTAAATTATATATATATATATATATATATGTATATATATGTATAAAACATGATAATATCAACATTATCGCATATGACAATAAAGTAGGGAAAAGAAGGATTCCATAAAGGGTTGACCATCAAAAAAGTGATCAGAGAAGAAAATCAGTCATATACAAAGGCAAGTTAGAAAGACTAATAGTAAAGCTATAGTACAATGGCTACTCATACTAGAATAATGAAAACCTTATTTACATTGTTCTTATTTAAATTTCATTTAATTCTTTTTGCAATTTTTGATATTTTGTTGAAAAGCTTCACAAAGTATGCTAACTTTGCTTTGTTGTGGAAGAAGGTCTGAAAAGTATGGTACTCTTGGATGCTCACAATCTCATCAATTTTGTTTATTGACTTGCTTTACTTTTAAATGAATGGTAAATTTACATAAGTGCCACAAATTTCTCATGTATTTATATATCTAACATCTATAGTTTGATATTTAAAATTATAACACCTTAGTGTCATAAACTTATGCATGAGAAATATTGGAAACAAATACTTTATTCAATAGAATGAGTGTTTCATGTTTTTTAAGCAGCCTCTGGTGGATTGCTATTCCTTCTATACATTTGAATTGAAGAGCCCATCATATATTTGGAAGGCTTACATACATCACACAATTCCATTGTATTTACGTATCTAACGTCTAGACATGGATATTTACAATAATGCCGCCTTACCCGGTACATGAAAGGTGTATTTTATATTTTAAAAAATGGTGATAGTCGTATTTTATATGTGATATAAATAACTTTAGTGTTATACATGTGATAGTTTAAGTATTAGATGTGTAGATTCATAAGAATTGTGTGATATTTATGTAAATTCATGAGAGATAACTTGGTTGTTTCCTTGGTTAGTTTTGCTTGTAAAGTTGTTGTATGATTTTTTAGAGTCGAGGTCTCTAAATATAATAATGATGGCATGGTTTATATTGATTGTGTAAGAGAATTTAGGATTCATATAAATACATCATTGCCATTTAATATGATAAAAAATATTAATTTTTAGATGCAAGCAATTGGAAAAAAATTCAAGGAATTTGGTGTAAAATTCAAATCATGTCGTACATCTTAAATGCGTCTGCACAGATCACAATGAGATCCAACGATCAAGAAGAAAAGAAGTACAACAAATTGTGAGATCATTTTATGAGAAGAGGCTAATAGACAAAATGATTTACTATTCATTTCTCTCTATCTCTATCTCTCATTTCTAACGCTCTAACTTTTGGGTTGTGATTTACGGGCAGATCGGGAGTCATCAAATGTAAAATCAACAAGTGATTCTAAGTTATTCATCATAATCATAATTTCCATTGTATCAAATGCGAACAAAATTAGAAATGATAGCAATAATTTTTTTAAAAAAGTAGAACAAGAATAATTATCATTCTGTGAAAAGAGTACAATACAAAGTTATAACAATGGCTTACAAGAACAAAAAAAAAAAAAACTAGAAAGAATAGTATATCAAGAAAGCCAACACAAGAGTCAAATTAAAAACACTAACTTGGAGCCAATGATGATGTACATCCTTGGTATTTTCCACTCCAAGCATATAGAGATTGATTTATTGTTCATAAATTTCTCCATAGATGAAATACTAATAATTTTTAGAAAGAGATTTTGGATCATTTATATCACTAATTTTAAGAAGTGTATCTTGAATTAGAGTTGTAAGAGAAACAAGATCACTAATCATACAACTAGGTGTTAGGACTAGTCCATCTACCTTGGAAGCCATTAATTTCAAAGGATAACTCAAAGTTGACTCTAAAATCAAAGGGAAAACCAAATAGAAGTTGGACAAAAAAGCAACAATTGTGTAAGAAAATATAATTTTATTAGATGGAAGATCTCCATTGCCATGATTACAAGTTTTTTTTTGCAGCTCTAAGTTAGCTTAAAAACATTCCAAGACTTTGAAGTTAAATATTTTGCAATAAATATAATATAGAAAAGAATGCCTTCAAATTCAACCTTTTTTAGTGTTTGCGCCGGTTACTTCTTTCATCTGACTGTGCGTTTAATTAATCCTCATGCAACGCTAAGACGATAATTTATTATTCTACGGCCATGAATTTTTTAGAACGTATCACTACTATTATTTCTCGTCCTAACATAATAAACCAAACTTCTTTAAAAAAAGTAATGAAAAAAACATATTGATTTTTAAAGGTTTACGAGTTGGTGCTTCTTAATTTCAATATTTTAACAATCAATCTTAGGCTTTTTGTCATGTATTGGAACAT